AGCAGCTTATCACTGCTGTGTTTCGTATGATGAGTGTATGCCTCTTTTCCAGTAAAAAGGGTCTCCGGTTCTCTACCGGAGACCCTTTTTACTGGAAAAGAGGCATTCCATCTTAGTCCTCACACGCGTCTGCATTTTGATTCACAAACGAGGATAGATGTAGATCTCTATGGGCCACAGCAACCACTTATCATCAGGTGGTTTGTGTTCTCGTTTTTCACCCTATCGTATAAAGAAAAAACTATTATTCATAATAATTTACTTTGAAAACCCAAGAAAATTTATTTAAAATGCCAAATAGAAAGTTCTAACGTACACTTATGCCATTTTTTTAAACAAAAAGTAAAATAATACTACGTAGGTCGCTCAATAGGTTTTGAGATATACAAAAAGTATTCTGGATACTATTAATATTTATTTTACATCTTTTTTAAATATTCTCCATCATGTTCTATACAAAGTTCCATTCGCCTAAACCTACTCTGAAAACACTTTTGCCAGTCTTGATCTGACAGGTCGGAAATCGCTTCTTCGTAGGCAGCCACGGCTTCTTCGGCACTTGAAATAAACTTGCCTTTTATTTTCTCTTTGACTCTTAGGAACAAAAAGAAATCACAAGGGCTGTAGGGTGGGTGACATAGAGTTTCAACACCAGATTCCTCAATAAATGCTTTTGTTCTAAGGGAGGTAAGTGAAGAGGCGTTATCGTGAAGCAACATGATTCCCCGAAGCCCGGCCTTTGGGTCTTCTTTCCCACACAGCTTGAAAAGCTTTGGGTAACGCAACTGTAGTATATTATTCAGAGTTGACTGACCTACAATTTTCCAGCATTGACGTCGACAAATGTCCGCTCCGCGAAAAAAAACTAGCCACCATTTTTGGCGACGTTGCGAGGTCTTTGCAGTTTTGTCGGTAACTGTCCTTCTGAGTAGACCCATACCGATGATTGCCTTTTATTTTCCGGATCATATTGATAGATCCATGTCTCGTCACCAGTAACGATTTCTGAAACACGCCTAGATACCCGGTTTTCAAAACGTAGACGCATTTCATGACACCAATCCAGATGAGTCTGTTTTTCGCTTTCGAAGAGCAAACGAGGGTTCTATCAACAACAAAGCTTACTCCAAGATGTTGATGTAGGATGGTATGAATGGTCCCCGAACTAATGCCTACGATCTTTTCGATGTCCGTATATGTGGTTCGTGGGTCTTCTCACACCAACATTTCAGTAGTCCATACATTTTCTGCCATTACTGCTGTTTGCGGGGCCCCGGTTCTTTGGTCATCTTTGAGATTAATTTTACCTCTTTTGAATTTTTTTGACTTACCTATTTCGACTATTTGTCCCAGGTAAACAATATCGTCAACAACTTCGAGCTTAGTGCTCCCAACAACTACCAAGACATGGACTTTACGCACGATCTTTGTTTTGCCCATGTTCATCTTAAGATCTATCAGTTGGAAGACACTAATGAGGTCATTGAGAATATTGCTTAGGTACTCCAGCGATTCTGCTATAAGGACTATATCGTCAGAAAATCGAAGGTGAGTGATGTAGGTACTCGCCATTTACGTTAATACTGTATCCATTCCAGTCCAGTAGCTTGAAAAAGTCTTCCGATACCGCGGTGAAGAGTTTCAGGGATATAACATCACCCTGTTTTACACTTCTCTGCATTTGGGTAGATTTCGTACTTTGGTTCTGTACTCGGATAGCCATCGTAGCCCTACTGTACAAACTCTTCAGCACTTCGATATATCGGCAGTCAACTTGGCACCGCTGAAGTGACTGCAGCACCGCCCACATTTCTCGACTTCCAGCCTCCCGAACAAGCTGGTTTCCGAAAGGGCTACCATATACCATGTTAAGGTAAAGTAGGATGGATATTAGGGAGGAGGGCAAGTATGATAGAAACTATTAGAGTTTCGAGTAAGAGTTAAGCTTTGAGTAGATTTTTATAAGAAAAAGGGGGATTGAGCAGGTCGAATATGTAAAGGCAAGAAGTTCCATAAGCGTACAGCTGTAACTGAAATGTATTATTGAAAAAAGAGGATGTATGTACTGGAGTACGGAGAGAATGAATGTAAGACAGATTTTCATTATTAGAAAGGCGATAGTCTAAACAAAAATCTGCGACCGTTATAATTCCGAAATATGAGAAGTTTCCACGTGATAACTTCAACTCTGTCTGGAGATTACAACTTGGAGGCGCGTAACACCGCTGGGCAAAATCTAGGTTTTAATATGAGACAGTTGCAGTCATCCACTTGTGGCTCTTAACAAAAATTCATTTGAGTGTATCATGTTTATTACGGTATATAACGACGCCTTCATTTTTAATTTTGTTTCTAGTAGAAGACGCGTGTACATAACTGTTAAGTTCTGGTATATTTTTTGTTACTGGTAGCCAACACTCGGACAACAGTAAAACGTCCCAGACCACTTGGGATATATGAAGAAGCATAGCAAGGTTTGGCATATTACAATTTATACTACGTATATTTTGTGTTAAAATGTTTAAGATGCGATCGGTAGTTAAAATCTTGTTTTTTCACATCGTCCACGTTACGGATAACCACATGAGCAAAATAAAGAGTCCAGATCTAGGCTTATTGTATTAAAATGGTGCATACTAAGTATTACATTATGTTTAATATTTCTGTTAAATAAATGTTTATATCACGGAATCCACGTGACTAATTCATTATAATATTAATAAATATTAAATAAAACCGCGATCTGGACCATATCCCCTTTTATTATGCAGTCTCTGTGTGTTTTGGGTGTTTTGAATGTTTTATGTATATGTAAATAATTCAAATATGTATATTCGTGTTGAGTGTGTGCGTGAATAAATGTAGGAATTTGATTGAAATATATGACAGCAAAAGTAAATTGCACCGTTTCAAGCAGGTAGGTATGTGAAGTTCTGCAATGTATTACATAATATGAGAAGTGCGTACATTCTAAATAACTTTTGAACAAACATTATTTTAGAAGAACAAAGGTATAGTGATATATCAATATACCTTTGTTCACACAAGACTCATCTTTTTTTACATGTTCGTACTTGTGCCTATTCGTCTCTGCTCGGCGATTAACTAAACGTTGCTTAATGTTTATTAGACTGCCTTTATCTGCATGTTTTGTCCAGCTGCGGAGGTTTTTCAAGCATCTCCAATCTCTTTTCCAATAAGGAGACCCTTTCTTTATACTCGCTCTTCTCTTGTTCCAATAAAGTAAGTTTTGTTAGCAATTGCCCGTGTAGGCTAGACAAAACCTCTACTGATGTTGGGTGACATGTTTTTTGTGTTATTACTTTTATAGTCTATAAAATGTTATTTTGAAGATTGAATGATCTAGATTTCCAAGCCACGTATTCTTGATTATGTCGCTTTCTTATATTAAAATAATTATCCTCTATAATGGTGTCATTAGGCTTATGGAGCGCGGAATCCAAATCATAATGTAGGTATATTACTAGATTTGATCGGGTTTAGCAAGTGTTGCGACCCAGGCAGAAATCTTTGCACCGACATTGTTTCAGTCGTATGCCTAAATGATCTGACGGCAAATTCGATATTAGTGGAAGAGGGTCGATAGGTGCGGCTAAGTCGTTACCAGTCGCCCGCCGACAATATAATAATTATAGCAATATCGCTGTAGGCAGTCAGCACTATGCTCAATGACCTCAATTCAAAGGTCAAGTGTAACGTCCATCTAACTAACACCATTGCCGGTAGTTATTGAAGGCACTGCGCTCGAAATTGTTGACGAGCATGTTTACCTAGGGCTAGGGCAAATAGTCCGACTAGTCAACTACTTCGACTAGGGCAAATAGTTCGACTTCCTACTTCGACGGAGAGATCAATCGACGGATCCAATTAATGTATGATAGATAACGACACATCTCATGATCACGCATATAAGTACCTTAAAACTTGAAAACAACGGTGTAGGTACAACCAGTGCGTGTTGACAGTTATGACATAATATTAGGTCTTCACTACTGGCCGTATGAAAAAGCCAACATAGCCAAGCGGCCCAGTAAGCTGAAGTGGCAATGGGCCAGCCATATAGCTCGATGAACCGACAACCAATGAGGAAAAAAGATTCTTCTATGGCAGCCTCGTACTTGTACGCGAAGTGTAGGGTGGTCACCCGCTAAATGGCGTGACGACCTGGTAATAGATACGAGTAGTAGATGAATGCAGGTGGCTCGTGACCATGTTTTGAGATATTCCTTCTGTTTTAGTAGACTTGTGATGGGATGTAATGTGGTTATCTGATGTGAAATGATGGTGAAACGTTGTATAAATAAAATGTTTCTCTCTTTATGACTAAATGCTTCCTTTAACTGCTCGTGGTGCACCATACTAGAAAAAACCTATAGGCGTCATCATCCATCCTTGGATAAATGAATAGTGGTAATTATACATGGGTTCAAATATTGCTGTTACCTGCTTACCCCTAAATTTTAGTATTCTATTCCTATTTTCATTATAAAATTGTATTTAATGGATTAAAAAAAATAAAATAGATGTAGGTGCAAATAATATTCACAAACCAATAAACAAACTATATCCTAAGTCAGTGCAGACCATGGTATAAATAAAAGAAGAGATACGCTGTTACTCTTATTCCTACTTGTCTTCGGTGTTAAAGAACTTATATTGCCTAAAACTCTATACAATAACAAAATTTATTTACTAGGAGATACGTTTTAGGATTGTCTTAACGAATCTTCTTTAAACGCGATGTACTCATAAATAAACAAACACAAAAAATTCTAAAAATGATAGACTTATTTTTAGTCCCTCTCAATTATTTGTCACAAAAATATACAATATACCGATACAAAAAATTTATTTTTTATTATATGTATAGATTAAGCATTTGTAGCAGAGGGTTATCGCTCCAAAACCGTGTGACGTATACAGGAGGCTATACTATTTTATATTTATTAAAACAATCAATATGATGTTTGTGTCGATAGTGTCGGAGCAGTCGTCGGGCGGCGGGGAAGCGGGACGACCGCCGCCACCGCTGCCACCGCCGCGATTCCCTGCCCCTGGCAACGTCTGACAATGGGAGATCGCTGCGCGTGCGCCACTAGTCGCGCCGATCAAGGCCGCCGCCAACTTCTTGTTTCATGGACTCAAGCGTCAAGCCGCGGGCCGCCCCTCTATCACTACCACACAACAAATGTTCTAAATCGATGTGATTAGCTTAATAAAACGAAACTTAGTCTGTAAGTCACGGCGTAAAATTAAAATAGTTCTTTAGTCTGTCATTTTATGACATAATTTATGGAAGCATAAGCACTATGTAAAGTGCCGTTGGTTTCTTGTACCCATTTTAATTAGGTATTTATGAAATTTTATTCAAAAACAAATAATTGGACAAAATTACAACATACAACTCGGCCTATGTGAAAGCCGTTTGAAAACTGACTACTGAAAAATCTAGCTTCAGATATATAAAAATTTACTGATAAGTATGCGTCGGTGAGGATTATTCATTATTATTAAAATAATAGTAGATTTTTATCGAACTTCTAGAGTGCAATAACTATGAGAAACCTGTACGGAATGCGTACTCGGTTTATATAGCACGAATCATATGCCAATACGTAGAAAATAATGTAAAATGGGTACGACGAGAGTAAATCGTGCTTACGACAATGACAAATGAATTGTCACGGACATGTATAAAAAATACAATGTACATACATGCTGTGACCTTATTATATTGTTGATTTTTATACATAATTATATTTATTTTACGAATGTTTTATTCTCCTTTACTCATAATTATTATTGTTATATCTAATGATAAATTAATGTCATATCTAAAGTGACCGAAATAATTATAACGACTCTATAAATGATTATAAATAAATTATTATATTGATTATTATCGAACATTATTATTGCTATCATTGGTCAACTACAGTTTAATTGCAGTTGCGGGAATTGATTATTTATTATAAATAAATATATTGTAATTTATTCAAAGAGCAAATTATAGGAAATTTTACATAATTTCATTTTTATTGTTCGTAATTTTCTTTAAAGTTTTCTTTATGTTTGAAAGAATCATTAACTATTTTGATTTATAGCGATAAGAGATAATAAATAAACATACATATTATCTTTTTAATTTATGAAAAGAATAGAATATGGTAAGTTATACAATTTGTGAAGACTTTTAAGAATGTAAAGCTTTTAAAATTATACGCCCCTAGAAGATGAACAAACGTTTCATTAATTTAGTTAGGATTCAGTAGCCACTACAGGGTTGTAGTCAATCTGTTCGTCCGTGCATCTGCTAACTGCTCAATTCAATATTAAGATTAGAAGATTCCGTAGCGTGTCGTTTGTGAAGGAAGCGCGGCCTAATATAATATGTGTGACTAGAATCGTCTTGGCGTTCACTACCATCATTTACGACGCTAAGTAATTTTAATAATTTTATTAATTTTTAATTACCGCTCACATGACCGTGAGAATCACTTATGCTTAACATTATTTATTACCTACACTCAGAAAAAAAAACAAATAAAATTTCGTACTCTGTCAATGGCTAGACGTGGGGGTTGACGAATAACGACAAAGTAGCTACAACCCGTCGAAAATATCTACAAACTGCAGCACACAGAGCCTAATGCTCTATGGATTGTGGACAAACCAGAGTGACCAATAGAGCGGTAACTCCAAAACGTCTTGCAACGCACGCACACAAGCACGGGGCTCACCATAGAGACAATAACGCGATGCTCAATAGTGTTCCCATAAGGTTACATTTCTTACATTTTACGTCACATTTTGTCAACCTATGTAACTTGTATGTAAGAAAAATTTTTAGGCAAATTTATGTAATTTTTTGAAAAATAAATTTATCATAAAACCAAAACTTCGGTTAATATTTACAAAAACTCGTTTGTTTTTTAGTAATTAATGATAGATGAGATAAAAAATTATCATTGCGTAACTTTTGGTTTTTGGACGTAGGTATGTTTTTTTTCTGCTATGCTTTCAATCAAGCCACGCTGGCATAATAACTAGAACGTACTAAACATCGCGTATGAGACATCCATAGTTTACTCTCTAGTTCTTTTTAGTACGGACCTCGTTGACTCGCTGGAATGTATGGCATGAATTGCCTCTGCAATCCGCCTCGAGTTTGTTTGCGTGTTCCCTTCAATTCAAAGGTCAAACTCTCTTGACATGACGTCACTTAAAAACATCCACAGTCCACACGTATTTCCGACGGGTTATAACCGTGTATAGTGCTGTAGATATTTATGTGGCTAGTTCAAAACGGTAGTTGTTAAAAAGTTTTTATAAATAAATTTATACAGCGCCGCATCGGTAAACAATAAAGTAATGTGTAACCATTGGACTAATGCGTAATTTTTTATGTCAATTAATAGTAAAACATAACAAAAGTAAATCCGTCTGTTTACAAAAAGATTCTTAGTCTTTCTCTTTTACATTCGAGATCAAACGTTCCGAAACAAATTAAATTTGTACTAAGTATATATATAATTTAACAAGTTATATATATAATTAGTACAAATATGAATTTGTCACTGTGTTAAATTAATTTATGTGCAGGTAAATAAATACATTTTAGAAAAAAAATACAGATATATAGAAATGCTCCTCGTTTTTGTTTGGTAATTTATTTTAACTTAAATGGTACGAAATATTTGATATTATTTACTTATAATACCTTTATAAATTATTTAATCCTTATGATGCAAAAAGATCACTTCTTTCTGTACGTGAATGAATCTGCACTAGCCTTCCTTTACCATCCCCTTTTGAGTTTATGTAGCCACTATTTTTTTAATAAACAGAATATCAGTTCACCAAAATGTAACAATAATGAGGAACTAGTAGCTAGCCACAGATCGTGCCAAAGGCACTAAAAAATTTGACCTCGCTGACTTGTTAGGTACTTTAACACATCATTTGCAAAGGAAACAACTAATTACACATTAAATGCATTAAAAGTAGCACCGATCCAAAAAATATCTTTGTTCAAGAATTTAAGAAATATACAAAGTCCAAACCCTGTACTTAAAAAATATAAGTATGAAAAACGACATAAGTACTGTATGAAGAAGTATTTGAAAATTTTATCAATTAAACGTGTAATTAAAAAGTTACAACATACCTATATTGTAAAATATACTTTACTTAATAAACAAAACAAAAAATCTTTTGATTTATACATTTGGAGGCTAATAAATAATTCTAACGTTAATTATTTTAATGAATATTGGCAATATATTGAAAATTTGGGTAATCATTATGTAGAATGAAGGTTCCCAAAGCTATTAGTGTTTAATTCGTTAAACACGTCGAATAACTCTAGTGATTGTTTGCCTACTGCAAAGGACGACTAGCAAAAACTATTATCTCTGCCTTACAATAATGAATGCATAATTATAATATTATACATTCCATATTAACTCTTACCAACAAAAAAGGTAGATAGGGCGCTGCTTATATTTTAAGTGATGCCGAAACCATGCTCAATTTCGCACACATCTTTAGTCTTTCTTTAATAAAAAATGAAGTACAAGTTTACTGCTAGACGCACACATATATACTTAAAACCATATTGTTGGTTGCAAATAATTTTAGATGTATATGTCTACGTGACGTCTACGTGGCTTGGTTTTTGCCGCACTTGAATTTACGTATAATGCCCCGTCATGGATTGACCGAGACAGTAATCACATTGATGAGTATCTATAGTTTGCCCAAAAATAAAATAAATAATAATAAGAAATTTAATTAACTCTTTCTTTCAAATAACTTTACTGATAACCATACTTCATTGTTTACACGTGGGTATAAATAAGTGATAAAAATAAATCCTTGTAGATAAAGACTGCATTAATGTAATAAACCAAAGCTGTGGAATCATCGTCAATAAAGTATTAATATAGATTATAAGTTAATGATGAACAAATTATACGCTTTAAAACACTATTCCAACATATACCTATATTTGAATTGACAATATTTGTCGTACGACATCGTTAATACCTTTAAGTAAGTTAAGACGGTGAAAGGCCGAAAGTTTTATCATAATATGGTAAAGTATATCATTATTATACCTATATTTATCACAATAATGATATATGAAATGAATTAAAAATATTGAATTCGTTATCAGTACGTTATTTAACAGTTTGCGGTGATCAATGATTAGACAATTCATGTTACAATTTAGAGAGATCGATCCAACAAAAAATAATTTATAGAATCAGGTGTTACTTTGCGGAGAGCTAATTACATTAAAATTTAGTTAATTTTTAATACAATAAGCAATTGTTGTATAGATATTCCATTGTTTGTTTTATTGATGTTGAATATACGACTGCGTGTTCGCGTATTTCTAGAGTCGGTCACGTGGCGACACTGATGCACGGAGGGACAGATTTGTTGGGAACATGATATCCCAATTCGCTAGGAAAGAAACCCTAAATCCTTCAAAGCACTATCCACAGTTAATGCCACAATGATCAGAAACGCATTTGAGTTTCAATGCGCGGAGATTACTCCGTTACTTGTACAAAAGAAACTTGTAAAATTTTATTGGAACTAATACCTACTTGTTATAAAAACGTCAAAATACACAAACATATTCTTTTATTTCAAACGATACCCTATGTTAGAATATCAGAATTCCTTTAATATGGTGTATAATAGCGATTGTAAAAAATATCATTTGGCTGTAATGGGCTTGACACAGTGCCATCTGTTATTGGACGTGGCTCATACGACCGACTGATGGGTGATTTGATTTAGAGGACAAATTAACCAATTGGTGATGCTTAGCTTATAAATGTGAGGGTATCAGCTTAGCGCTTCCTAAGGCGCTTCGCGAACGTAGACACGTTGCTACCCGTAATTGCTGTGTCCGGTAGCGACAATCGGACTCAGTCGCCGGTTGCTAATTCTGGTCGCTGGTAACAATTCGTTGATTGTTTTAATTAGTTTAAGGATGGATGTCGATGAAGAAACATTACCTTTGCTGGTTGTGTTGATTATATGTCGACGTAG